TTTTTTTGTATTGGGTTTTCAAGAGTTTGTGTTCTTTTGTTGCAGCAAAGGGTATGTTTTTGATTTCTTCACCTACTAATGGCAGAAACACGAGGATGGTTTATAAAAATAGGTCATTTGTATTTTATATTGTTACTGCATCTTTTAAAAATACAATGATCCCAACATACATACATTTAACAGCTTAAATATGAATGAAAATAATTTTAGTTAGGGCCTTTCTACATTTCATCAATGATATGTATGCACACATGAATTTATATCCACCACTTAAATTATTTCGGAGGGATTGATATAAGGTTAAAAAATGATTAAATGCCATTTGAAATATTATACAATTTTCGTTATATCATGCTCTATTTTAATGAGAAAATTTTAATTTTTTTAATAAGCATATTAACTAAGGATATTTACTTAAAAGATGTAAAATATTAATTCTAACATGTCTGAAGTAAAATCAGTTATTTTATACATAAGTAAGTTCATTTTCATAGCCCAGTCAAGTTAGTTCAATAAATAGGGGAAAACTTACAATAATTCGCATAAAGCTGAAAATTGGTACGAGTGTTTCGAACACCATTATGAATGAAATTTAAAAAGTCCCCATCGATGCCACGTCGGCAAACAAAAAAAAAATATTTATGCTTTTAGTATTATGATAACCTATGAACGTCGTAATTAAGAGGAAACCTTTTTATTTTCATCAGGACGGATTTGACCGTAAAGGGTTAAATAGACAAGATAAGCTAAATATCACAATATGGGTATGAAACGAAAGTATTTGAAAAATCTTTGATTTCGTAATATCTTCAAAAATATATTAACAAACACACACGTTCCTAAAAAAAATAAAGAATGCTACATAGATTGATAATTTGTTTGAAAATTTCACTTCATGAAACTGTTTAAAACTACATATTTTGTTTTTATTATTGAGGTCACAAAAGTTTTGTGAGGGAGTAAGAACACAAAAGTACTTTCTCAGCACAGCAAAGCACGCCGGACATTTGCTAATTCAACATATGTACCTAGACATTGTTGCTGTCAATGCAATAAATGCGGAAAAATCCTCCAAGCAGGCAAACATTTGGAATAATCCATCAGGCCTAATCTTATAGGCTTGAAGACTGAAATAATAGAATTTATTTCCTCCTCTTAGGTTTATCTTTTGGAGAATGACTACTACCTTAGATATATTCCCAAAAATACTTTCGCCTGGCTTAGTCTCAAAGTGTTCTCCCAATGCTCGATTCCGAGATGAGGTTCTTCTGTTTTTACTTCTCCGCTTATGGTATGAGGTCTAAATGCCGTAAGTAGTACTCCTCCTATAAGTAGGGTAGCTGGTGCTTCTCTTTCTATTCTTTCAGCCTTTTTCTTGTCATGCGTTCTGCCAGCTTGTTCAATCTCGCTACACATTCCCAGACTACATGTGATCTGATATCAAATGAGGATATGGCTTTTAGTGTTGCCTGACTGTCGCTGCAGCTGACAATGGGCTTCATCCATAAAAAGTGAACTTAATCTTATACTCAATTTTTGCACTGACGACGTGAGTTAGAGGTCTAATATTTGGACTGAAACTGGAGTCTGAGCTTAAGCTCACTTTTTATGCATGAAGCTCATTGTGCTGTCTACTTAGACGTCTCTGCAGAATTACTTCCGCACAAACACTGATGGCATAAACATCCGCTTTAAAGATGCTAGGGTTATTCTCCAAGGGCATAGATATTCTTGCCTTGGGATGGTACATCCCTGCCCCTAATCCTTCGTCAGTTTGAGCCATCTATGAACTACCTTTGGGTATGTGGCCGTAGGATGTTTTATAAAATTTCCTCGTTCCAGGGGGATCTGCCACCCATGTCGTCTCTGTTGAGCTGGGAGATAGGAATCTTATTCTTATTTTCTCACCCAGTTTGCACCAACTCACCTTAAGCTTACTAAAGCTTTTTCACATAAGGTTGGATAGGGCTTTCTTAGCTCTGATATATGAATATTTTTAATGGCTTCAGGTCGCCCCTCGTTATGATTACTGTGTTGCCCGCTTATCTTGGGCACATTAACCCATTATTGTATAGTAACTAAAGTAGTTCATCTACATATATGCACCATGATAGAGGCTCCCTGAGGGCGGCAGCCTTTTACTGTCTACAGCTGTAAGTTTTTGCTTCCTACTTCCGCATCCGCAAGTATGGTTCGTAGCATTGTTTCGATCCATCTAACAATGGGGGCGGCTACATCTCTCTTCTCTAGAGCTCAATCCATTTGAATATAGATATCTACTACTTAAGTTTGTTTTTCAGCAAACCAAAGACAATTACAGTCAGCTCATTTGAAGTTGAAGTTATTCAGAAAAGCACAAATATGAAAATCTCAAAAGCAAATATACATAAATACATATGTACTATATATCCTTGAGCATGCAGTCCCCCTCTAGCTCGTTCACCAACACTTGACCAACCGAACATAATTTATTATCACACCCTACTATCGCTTCTCACTACTTACTCCTTTCATATTGTCTGTCCGCACTTACATAAAACTCAGCTGTTTCACATCTATTTTGCAGATACCGACACACTGACACATTCACAATAATGTTCCAAAGCTCACCCTCTCTCTCGCGCAACTTGCATAAACTTTATCGAGTGCGAAATCTCATTGAAAACTTTTCGCCTTGTCTTACCCTTTTTTGTTGTTAACAACTTTAAGCAAAATTTAATTGCGACTTCTGCTTCAATCCCTCTGCTTTTTGTTATCGACCACTTCCATACAAATACTTATGTATATGTATGTATGTATGTATGTATTTTTGCATGTATTTGTAAGTAATTGCATGAGCAGATAGGGAAAACGTTGGCCGTCAGCGTACTTGAAGTGTTAAAGAACATTTCAAATTCATTCAAGTGGCAAAATTACGTTAATCACGTACCGGCCATAAATCTTTACGCAGCGCTGGCCAAAGTACTTACATACATATATATATATCTACTTCTGGTTCTGGTATGGACATAAGTTTGTCAGTTTTTGCAGCATTTGCGAATATAGAGTACAGATACAAGTATATGCGCGGCGAGTTGTACAAGATAAAGTGCTACTTTGCGGAAGTTTTAAAAGATTTTAGGGAAATTTTTAATTTATCGTATTTTCTAATTTACATTTTATAATTGATTTGAGATAACATTAACAAATGAATTCAAGGCTGTTGGTTGGGCCATGCATATTCAATGCAAAGGACAAATGAGCATGAAATTAAATTTTGGTTTGATAAATTATTTGAGGCATACTTTGAGGGTAATTTAAAATTGAACAGTTAATGGTATGAATTATTTATAAGCTAAACATCTGCAAGAACATTAAAAAAGCTTCTCATGATATAATCACTCAAACTTACAGCACAATCCTACTCAGTACAGTTGTAGCGAGTAGCGAGAGTGAATAAAAAAAGGGATGAATCGTCTGAGCTGCGAGCGCTGCCAGAGCATTTTGCTTATGCCACTCACAGTCGCTACGAACCTCATTTACGAAACTCAGTACTCGTTGTATGCAATTGTTGTAAAACGAGTGAATTTTGTACAATCTTGCTGCGGCAACAATGAGTATTGCACGAAGTACCATGATTTCAGCAAATTTAGTAGATGTATTCAAGTTATTCGGGTAACTCGAGTGATTTAAGCTGAAACTGGTCGATGTGTGCATATTTGCGTCTGTAGTTGGCACGGTGACCATATGAAAGGGCAAACATA